GAAACATCAAGTGGCATCTCTACATATATTAAAGTCATTATTCTTTTTCTGAACCTGTCATGTGACAGAATCAGTGTAGATAACTGGCTAGTTTGGTTGCCTATGGTGCTCCTTTGGCAACGGCCATGTGACCAATGCCTCATTCCATGACCAGCCCCACAGGGATTCTGGGTTACATGAATTACAGGAGACAGGAAATGTTTGACATATTTTGCCTAGGGGTGACTGCAGTCCAAAAGTCACTAGTCATTAAAGTAAGCCCATTTCAAATACAGATTTTGACTGAATGTGGCTATAAACCACTTGGGCTTGTATGGGTATGTATGGCCCGACCACCTCATGATGTATTTGGGACAGTTTCTGCCCTATTGTTAGGATCCAGAGCCCCTCCAGGTGGCGCTGGAGCTAAGCCCTGCAGTTTCCGTACTCACCTGCGGGGGTCTCCAGGCAGCCAGGAGCTGTTAGGTACCAGACCACCACTGGGTGGTGCTGGAAACTGCAACTCCAGTACTCGCCTGCAGGTGTCTCCCAGTTGCCACCAATCATCCACCACCTGGTGCTCCCTGGGAGGTTAATTAAGCCCTCCCTGCAGTAAGGTCTGTGGCTCAGTATTGTTTCCTGTTAAGCCTGAGTCCCCTGTCCTGTATCCTGTGTATGTTCCCTGCTTGTTGTCCAGAACTGTCACCTGTTTATGTTTCTGAGCCCTGTTAGCTCCTTGTACCCTGACCTTTCGTCCCTTAGTTCCCCTGGTGTTTTGCTTTGCTCCCTGGGTGTGCTTGCCTGTTTCTTCTTGCATGTAGTGTTGTTTAAATGTAGTTGGTTGCTAAGACTTGTTTCTGTTGTATTATTCTGGTTGGCATATTAAAACGGTATATCATATGTTCTGCCTTGTCCTGTGTGGTCACGTGTTTGGTCTGCCTGTGTGGGTACCTGCGCAGGTGTGGGGTCACCTGTGCCGGTATCGCTGACACCTATGCAGCAATGCTCTATTCACACTACTGTCCCTTTGGGGCAATGGAGGTAAGGGGGAGGGGAATTGCACAGACTGTTCTGCGGCAGGTCTATCCCAGGATAAGCCACAGCCATTGGGGAAAATTTGTACAAAATCGTAAAATCACTTTGTCAGAAAAGAATTCTTTGAAGGGAAGCTGTAGTGGTTTCTCTCAATGTAATCAATATGTATTTGAGTTTTACAGTTCACAGGTACAGGTCGCCCAGGTCTATTCTTTGAATATGAGCTGCAATAAGAGTCTGTACAGAGGTCCTGCTTTTGCATATTTTGCAAAGTGTGTGATACAAAATGTGGCCCAGCGAAGGTTGCGGGGAGTTGGTCTTACCTGGATGTTTTCCTGCGCTTCCAGCAGTGACTGCTCCTTCTCTGCCAGCTGTATGCGAAGACTGGTGTCGGCGTTGGCGGCATGAGCGTATCCCTGCTGCTGCTTGCTGGGGACACAACAAACAAAAGGTGGAAATATGAATTGGGAAAGTTGTATTATATGGAAGGGTAGGGCAAGGAAGAAGATTATTGGGCGCCAACTTAAATTCTATATTAAACACATTCATGTTTATAAACAGTCCCTAACAGCAGAAAACAAGCTGTGACTGCCAACATTCTGTCCTAGTTAGTATATAGAGACAAAAGCCAACTTCCTGTGTACATTTGTGGAGGATTCCTGCTCACATAGTTCACCTAAAGGACCATGTGCAAACGGCTAAACCCAACCCCTCCTCTGTATGCAGCCCCTGAGACCTCTTACCCCTCTCCTCTGTATGCAGCCCCTGAGACCTCTTACCCCTCTCCCGTGTATGCAGCCCCTGAGACCTCTTACCCCTCTCCTCTGTATGCAGCTCCTGAGACCTCTTACCCCTCTCCTCTGTATGCAGCTCCTGAGACCTCTTACCCCTCTCCTCTGTATGCAGCCCCTGAGACCTCTTACCCCTCTCCCGTGTATGCAGCCCCTGAGACCTCTTACCCCTCTCCTCTGTATGCAGCTCCTGAGACCTCTTACCCCTCTCCTCTGTATGCAGCTCCTGAGACCTCTTACCCCTCTCCTCTGTATGCAGCCCCTGAGACCTCTTACCCCTCTCCTCTGTATGCAGCCCCTGAGACCTCTTACCCCTCTCCTCTGTATGCAGCTCCTGAGACCTCTTACCCCTCTCCTCTGTATGCAGCCCCTGAGACCTCTTACCCCTCTCCCGTGTATGCAGCCCCTGAGACCTCTTACCCCTCTCCTCTGTATGCAGCTCCTGAGACCTCTTACCCCTCTCCTCTGTATGCAGCCCCTGAGACCTCTTACCCCTCTCCTCTGTATGCAGCTCCTGAGACCTCTTACCCCTCTCCTCTGTATGCAGCTCCTGAGACCTCTTACCCCTCTCCTCTGTATGCAGCTCATGAGACCTCTTACCCCTCTCCTCTGTATGCAGCTCCTGAGACCTCTTACCCCTCTCCTCTGTATGCAGCTCATGAGACCTGTTACCCCTCTCCTCTGTATGCAGCCCCTGAGACCTCTTACCCCTCTCCTCTGTATGCAGCCCCTGAGACCTCTTACCCCTCTCCTCAGTATTCTGTATGCAGCTCATGAGAACATTTACCCCTCTCCTCTGTATGCAGCTCCTGAGACCTCTTACCCCTCTCCTCTGTATGCAGCTCCTGAGACCTCTTACCCCTCTCCTCTGTATGCAGCTCCTGAGACCTCTTACCCCTCTCCTCTGTATGCAGCTCCTGAGACCTCTTACCCCTCTCCTCTGTATGCAGCTCCTGAGACCTCTTACCCCTCTCCTCTGTATGCAGCTCCTGAGACCTCTTACCCCTCTCCTCTGTATGCAGCTCCTGAGACCTCTTACCCCTCTCCTCTGTATGCAGCTCCTGAGACCTCTTACCCCTCTCCTCTGTATGCAGCTCCTGAGACCTCTTACCCCTCTCCTCTGTATGCAGCTCCTGAGACCTCTTACCCCTCTCCTCTGTATGCAGCTCCTGAGACCTCTTACCCCTCTCCTCTGTATGCAGCTCCTGAGACCTCTTACCCCTCTCCTCTGTATGCAGCTCCTGAGACCTCTTACCCCTCTCCTCTGTATGCAGCTCCTGAGACCTCTTACCCCTCTCCTCTGTATGCAGCTCCTGAGACCTCTTACCCCTCTCCTCTGTATGCAGCTCCTGAGACCTCTTACCCCTCTCCTCTGTATGCAGCTCCTGAGACCTCTTACCCCTCTCCTCTGTATGCAGCTCCTGAGACCTCTTACCCCTCTCCTCTGTATGCAGCTCCTGAGACCTCTTACCCCTCTCCTCTGTATGCAGCTCCTGAGACCTCTTACCCCTCTCCTCTGTATGCAGCTCCTGAGACCTCTTACCCCTCTCCTCTGTATGCAGCTCCTGAGACCTCTTACCCCTCTCCTCTGTATGCAGCTCCTGAGACCTCTTACCCCTCTCCTCTGTATGCAGCTCATGAGACCTCTTACCCCTCTCCTCTGTATTCAGCCCCTGAGACCTCTTACCCCTCTCCTCTGTATGTAGCTCATGAGACCTCTTACCCCTCTCCTCTGTATGCAGCTCATGAGACCATTTACCCCTCTCCTCTGTATGTAGCTCATGAGACCATTTACCCCTCTCCACTGTATGTAGCTCATGAGCCCTCTTACCCCTCTCCTCTGTATGCAGCTCATGAGACCTCTTACCCCTCTCCTCTGTATGCAGCTCATGAGACCTCTTACCCCTCTCCTCTGTATGCAGCTCATGAGACCATTTACCCCTCTCCTCTGTATGTAGCTCATGAGACCTCTTACCCCTCTCCTCTGTATGTAGCTCATGAGACCTCTTACCCCTCTCCTCTGTATGTAGCTCATGAGACCTCTTACCCTCTGCTTTTTGCATCCTGAGACTTCTCCCCTCTGTCCTTTGTCAGTTAACAATTATTTTTAATTTTTTTAAGTACTTGTAACACCCAAATGGAATACTTCAATGAAACACTAAAAAGTAACTGTTATGGAGCACTTAGAATCCTTGCCACGCCTTCTAGAATCCCTCACCGGAATTTTAATTGCACTTACAGAATCCATGCCAGGATGTCCAGAACTCCTATTCTCAGAATCCCTGCCAGGTGGCCGCTGCTGTGTCTCCTTAGCAGCTATCCTGCTTTGGGTAAAAGAGCTATACTATACTACTGATCTAGGTGCTGACCCAGATGGATTTGACTGCTTTCTTGCCCGCCCATGATCTGTGCTTGAACCTGACCACCCTCTTGCCTGCTGTATGTCCATGACCTTTGCTTGGACCTGACCATTCACTTGCCTGCCTGTGACCTTTGCCTGGACCTGACCATTCACTTGCCTGCTGCCTGTCTGTGACCTCTGGCTGGACCTGACCATTCTCTTGCCTGCCATTTGCCCCCAAGCTTTGCCTGCATCTGAACACTTTGTTGAGTAATATTTTGTGTACAGTCTCCACATTATAGTTGTTCTGTTCCAGATACCCCCTTGGTGGGCCAATCCAGAGGGCCACACCTGGGTGACAGCTTGCAGAGAAGTAACCTGGGACCACTAGGGTTCTGGCCCATCTCCACCATCTGGAACTCTGTTGAAGACCAGCTTTCACTTAGACTCCATGCCTTGGGAGAGCCTGCGTCACCTGCCAGAGGGCATCATAACAGTAACATTTCACCCAGCAATTGGCCTAATCCAAGTCATACCCTAATCTCCATGTTTTCCAATCTCGAGTACTCACCTGCCATGTTCGCCTTTTGGTGCTGCCCGGGGGCTGCTGTCCATACCATTACTCTTCTGCTTTGTAGGGTAACCTTAAAGAAAGAAGCAAATTAAAATAAATGTTATTGATAATAAACATAGTGCATGGAATATCCTATGATCCTCAGCTCCATCCAACAATGTGCTGCGAAAGATTGTTTGCACAGCTACATGCTGGGCGAACGTGTTGTACATCAGCCCCTTAATCTGAACCCCTAAACTAACTCTGGATGTTAATGCCTAACCAGAGTAACACTTAGCCCCAATTCATACTTGATAAGTGTGACATCACATGTCACATTTATGCATGTTTTAACACGTTTGTTGCTCATTATGTCTGACAAACACGGCCCTATGTCACACATGGCAAAGAAGCTCATGTATCTTTTAGGCTTCAAGCAATTTTTTGACCACATGGCTTTTGTGCATTTGCTATATATCTTGTCTCATTAAAAGCATGTGTCTTGCTTGGTGCATGCAATGCATGTTGCAATCAAGGCTGTCCCTAAGGTATTCACCGCCTGAGGTGATGTCATTCTGGGAGGAGGGTGTGCTAGCAGGGAATGGTCACTGGGGGGGTGCATGGCTGTGCTGATTTGTTGCTCGGAGTGGGAGGGGTGGCAGACCCTGGACTGCGCTGTCAGAGGCTCTCTCTGGCATCCTGCCCAGCTCACTGACATCACTGGTTGTCAGGAGCTCGGCGAGACCAAAGCCAGATGGTAACTGGTGACACCAGCGAGCTGGGTGGTGTCACAGTTCAGCTGCAGACCTGCAGCTGAGCTGTTACTTGTAATTCTTCAAGTACTGTATATACATACCAAGTATATACATACCTCTCACCCCTGGTTCTGCAGGCATGTAGGGCTGTGCTGTTGCTTGTAGTCCTCCAGACATGTGCTCTGAACCTGACTCGCCCTTGCACCTGTCTGCAAACTTTAGGCATCGGCCGACCCTCTCCTGCTGTTTCTTATGCAGCTTCTTGGCCAATCAGTGCAGGCTGTTTGTAGCCATCCCCTGGATCCTCCCTCTTCCTGCCTCTATTTACCATCTTGTCTTAAAGGAGAACTATGAGGGGAGTGATTTCCACTCACCTCATAGTTCTAAGCCGACCTGTGACAATGAGACTGTCACAGGTCGGCTCAGTAGATCGGGAGGTGAGGGAACACATACCGGGTTCCCTCACCTCTCGATCCTGTCATGGCTCTCTGCCGTGACAGGGGAGGGGCTGTATTCCCCTCTCCCCGCTCCGATCTGCCAGCGCTGGCTGGCGGAACGGACGGGGGAGGGTACAGCTGGCTCTGCCTCTAGATAGGCAGAGCCAGCTGTCACTCACGCAGCTGGGCGGATCCCGTCATCTACGTCGGGATCCGCTCCAGGTGCGGCGTCTCAGTATACCGCGAGCTGTAGCTCCCTATATGCTGAGCTTAGGGAACGGGAGGACGCTAGTTTGTGTCCTCCCGTTACCCCAAGGAGAACTATGGGGAAAAACACTGACCCCATAGTTCTCCTTTTAAATTGGATTGTGACTGTAAAATCTTCCTTAGCGCTGTGCAAACTATTGGCGCTATATAAATCCTGTATAATAATAATAATAATTTATACTCAGGGCAGCGAACTGCACGCTGCCAGAGCAACGCTTTCCTAAGCTAGTTGCGGACTTCCCCATTTGTGATTTACCCTGAATTCCTGGAAGATTTCCTGTGTACTGAACCTTTGGCTTGTGTTTGGAAATCCCTGACTACAGTCTACCCTGTACTTCACTTTGTCCCTGGAAGTCTTTCGCCTGTCCCTAACTGTTGATTCGTACCCTGTACCTGTTAGGTGAGTTGGGTGGACCTAGGGATTGTGACCTGGGGTCAGCACGCAGCCAAGCCCATCTCCACCATCAGGAGCTCTGGCGAATACCAGCTGTCTCTTAGATTCCACATCCTGGGGAACTCCATGCCACCTACTCAGCATCCCATGCCACCTACTCAGCATCCCATGCCACCTACTCAGCATCCCATGCCACCTATTCAGCATTGCAGCACCCTGCCTTGTATTTGAACTTCCAGCTTTAGTTGACTTCCACTGCCTCATTCACATACCTGCTCTGTTCCCTGCTGGTACTCCAGCTCTGGGAGTCGTCAGCCTACACTGCTTGGGCCCTTTTCTCTAAAGGTCCCCACACACCTTGCGATAATCGTACGATAATGGTCTAGTTAGGGTTATGGGTATTCCTTTTCTGCGTTTAAGGTGGAATTCGTTTTTTGGGAGATATGTCTGACTTAATTTTCTTCTAGGTTGGTCGTCCATTTGGCGGGTCCCTGGCGGTGCCATACATCGACGACGAAGAACTGGCTCTCCGCAAAGTGAAAAGGGGCGGAGTAGTAGGGAAGTGCCAATGGTGGGGCTACTGGGCTTTATAGCTTGGTAGCCAGTAAGAACTTGGGCGTACCCACTCGGGCCAGAATATGGGCGGCCGGTGGCTGGTACAGTAAAACAATGGGTCATGGTACACCCCCCGTAAGCGGTGAGTGGTGGTTTTTGGCACTCGTCAGGGACCGAAGTATTTTGTTCTTAATATGTTCATAATATGATACATAATATGTTCTGCGATTATTTTAAATGTTTACATCGCTGTGGCCATTCAACCTTCCAATAAATGTTATTACATTACGTTTTTTGAAATTACTGTGTTCAGTGTGTTATTTAGGTGGGAGGTGAGGGTTACTTGGCCTTGCAGTCAGTCATGTGTGAATGTCTGGCTCCCAGCAGAAGGAGGAGGCAATTCATTATCTGACATCTGTCACTTGCAGATACAATACAGAGCTGATATCATCTAATAAAAAGGATAGAAATAGGACAGCGGGCTGGAAAAAATGGTGACTGTAAGTCATTCATGAGTCTAAGGCGGGTTCACACAGATAACGGCCGACCCGTATGGATCCATGCCGCGTGCACGGCCGTATCGGGCAGCTCCCAGGAAGGACAGGTGCTGCGTGTGATTTGTACGCAGTGAGCATTTCCTGTACAGCTCTGCTTTGCCATAGAAAAGAGGACCAGTCGCAGTTGTGATCTATTTAAGGAGAGAGACTTTGATTAAAAATAAGGACAGTTAGGAGCTATGCTGCTGTATCAGCTGTTACCTGGATCTGTGTGATTGGCGGGTTGAGGCCGTGGGCTCAGATCCTGTGTGGGAGGAAGAACAAAGAGAAGGAGAATCATGCAGTGCACCTGGAAGTGGGGGGGATATATTAGGCAGCAAGTTAACATTTTGTCCCTGAAGCTGATGTGTTGGAAGCAGAAAAAATGAATAACGTTAGGATATAACACGTGTAGTCTGATCCAATAGAAGAGCTACTGTATCTCAGATTGCTGAAAAAGTGAATGAAAGAAATGTGTCTGAACACACACGCAGGGTCTGAAGGGTCAGAGCATTGCAGTTTGGTGCATATGGGCCTGTGCAGCCCTAAACCAGTCAGGTTGCCCATGCTGACCCGTGTCCACTGCCAAAAGCACCTACAATGGGCACGTGAGCATTAGAACTGGACCACGGAGCAATGGAAGAAGGTGGCCCGGTCTGATGAATCACATTTTCTTTTACATCATGTGGATGGCCGGGTGCGTGTGTGTCACTTACCTGGGGAAGAGATGGCACCAGGATGTACTATGGGAAGAAGACAAGCCGGCAGGGACAGTGAGATGCTTTGGCCAATGTTCTGCTGGGAAACCTCGGGTCCGGCCATTCATGTGGGTGTCACTTTGACACGGACCACCGACCTAAACATTGTTCCTGACCAAGTAAACCCCTTCATGGAGACGGTATCCCCTGATGGCAGTGACCTCTTTCAGCAGGATAATGCTCCCGGCCACACTGCAAATATGGTTGCAGAATGGTTTGAGGAAAACAAGTTTGAGGGGTTGACTCGGCCTCCAAATTCTCCAGATCTTAATCCTATCGAGCATCTGTGGGATGTGCTGGACAAACAAGTCCAACTAATGGAGGCCGATCACCTCACAACTTACAGGACTTAAAGGATCTGCTACTGATGGCTTGGAGCCAGATATCACAGCGTACCTTCAGAGGTCTAGTGGAGTCCATGCCATGATGGGTCAGGAAAAGGGGGACCTACTCAATATTAGATACATGTAATTTCCAGTATGCAGAATACACAGTGGCGTACCAACCGGTGG